TGGAATTCCCAAGGCAATCAATATTCTGACCTCTTGGATCCAGTTTTCATCTGCTGTCAAGGTAAATTTGGTTAAGACTGCAGTAATAGTTTATCTGGGTTCAGACTGAAGAGGGAATAATGACACAGAAGCAAGAGCATTCTTCTGTCTCTCTAATATACCAGATCTGTCTCTAGATACACAAACTTTTCAATAGCTATACTTTCTTCAATTTTTTCCCTTTTGTAATGACAATTTCCAGACAGAGAAGCTTAGAAACTAACTTTAGAAAGTTATTAGCAGAAGCATATGAATGTATGTATGTGTGCGTGTGTTTGTGTGTGTTTTTATGTATGTATTTTTACATGTACACAGTTACTGATTTTTGTGCAGGACAGTAAACGAAACTCACTGATGTTATAAAAAAACTCACAATTATTATAGGTTTTGTTTGCACATCCTTTCATATGGGCAGCCAGAGGCAAGGACTTGATGTTTTTCACAGATCTAATCCATACTAAACTTAAGTGTATTTTAGTATACTTATTAAATTGGTTTCCATTACGTGGAATCTGCTATCAAAAGCATTGCATGCTATCTGCTACCTTGTTGTCAGTATTTAAAGAATGAATGCTTATCTCATGTTATATGTGACCAAGTAGGGTAATGCTATATGAGAAATTTTCTTATGGAAAATTTTATTGGTCTTTAAAACTGGAAAGAATAATTATAATGACCTTAGCAGCAGAAGGCAGGCCAAGACATTTCTCCCTGGAATTCTTTAACCCTGGAACTACAGCAATGGCACAAGCATTTTCAGGTTTCACTCTACCTACCTGCACTGGACCTCCTAAGTGCCACCTTTCTCCTCAAACCTTCCTGTTCCAGCTATCTCTCTCTGATCCTGTGAGGCTCTGTGCCACAAGATGCACTGAATGCTGCATGCTTCTGTGGGCCCGGGAGAGGACTGGACATGTTTAAGGTAGAGAAAGCCACAGAGCAGAGAATGAGTTGGTACCACATCCAGCTCATTTGTTCTTCTGCCATGGGTGGTGAGGTGAGAGCGTGCGAGAAGTATCACATATGCTTACCATGTTTTTATATTTTTCCCTAGGCAGTCACCTTTATATTGGGCTATTTGGACTTTTGGTCAGACCGAATATGTCTGCTCTTATGTTCTTCACTCTCTGCTCTGCTCCATCTTTCCTGCTGGCTGCTCCTCCATCTGTGTGGGCAGCTACAAGTGTTGGGAGGACATCAGCACTGGGCAGGAGGGGCTGGAGAGGCTGTTGATAGTAGCATCACGTGCTGGTTTTGACATGCATATTTTCAGGTTTGCCATCACAGAGCTAGAGCATGATTTCAGGTTGCTTGTATTATTCACCATGAGATAATGAGTTGGCCACATGAATGTTCCTGTGAGGTAAAATAAAAAATGGATACAAAAACAAACTGGAGAAGGCGATTAGAAAGAAGAAGGCGATTAGAAAGACAGAGTCGGTCGGTATAAAAGTCTTGCAATCGAGCAAAAAGAGTATAGCCACAGGAGAAGCTGAAGGTGAGAAGGACAGCAATTTACCAGATGTCTATGGGATAATGCAAATAGGAAAATTTTATGCTGAGTCTGAAGGTAAGGCTTTGCAAAGACCTGCTAATGCAATTTCCTGAGTTTTTAAAGCTCCAAGCTGTTTTATGTATGTGGAATAGAGAATTATTTGGGGTCAGCTTGAAGTCGTTTCTTTCTTTTTGCTTTTTGTTTGATTTTTTTGTTTGTTTCTCTTGGTTGAACTGGGGCATTGAAAACACTGTAATACCTGTTGAATTGTGGACCTAGAATGAAAAAGCTGTGTTTTACATTCACGTGTAATTCACGTGTTTAATATTGTGTTTTTAATGAAGATTTTCATTTATTCAGGGTTGTGGGGGCTCTTTGCAAAAATAGGAAGAGATATTCTGCTATTCCTTCATGTTAGGAAAGGCAAAATTAAAGAAACAAGCTTTGAGCTTGGAGTAAAGGGTAAGGCGATTTGTGATATGGGAATTCAGTCTGTAGTCTCAGAAAAGGTCCTCGGAACGTTCTCTGTCCTGCTCAGATGGATTTTACCTCAGCAGG